TGGACATGACCCACCAATGTGAGGGTTCACCATTTGGGGTTCCTGACATCAAAAATTGGTCACTAAATGGGTACCAGAGAAAAGTGAGTGATGTTTGAGCTAATTTTTTATCACAATTAGGCAAAATCAGTCGCTTCAGTTTTGGGCCCCTCACTAAAAAAAGGTGCTGGAATGGGTCCAGAGTATGGAAATGAAGCTGGTGAAGGTTGTAGAGAACCTGTCCTGTGAGGAATGACTGAAGGACCTGGGGGTGTTAAATGTGGAAAACAGTTTGTACCTGTCCATAAGGGTTCAACACATGTGGCTGAGCTTTCCTACATTGTTAAAAGCTACTCTAGGTATCCCTCTTACTGCTGGGTTTGGTGATGGCTTTCCCTGAAGAAAGCACTTGTAGGTTCAGAAAAATGTAAAATAACAGGAACAGAATTTTTACCAGGGCCTGTAATGACAGAGAAAGGTGTTTAAACTGAAAAAAAGACAGATTTGGACTAGATAAAATTAAAGAATTTTTCAATTAGGATGGTGAAACACTGTTACTGGTTTTCCAGAGAGGTGATGGATGCCTCATTTCTGGAAATGTTCAAGGCCAGGTTGGACAGGGCTTGGAGCAACCTGACATAGTTAAAGATGTCCCTGCTCAAGGCAGGCGGTTGGAGTAGATTACCTTTAAAGTCCCTCTCCAATCCAAATTATTCTATCATCCTACAATTGCATGGTTCCATGAAAACCCTCGTTTTTCTGGAGATGGTTTTTTCTGGAGATGTAGTAGGAAACACAGATTTAACAGCAAATGTTATGAAAAGCTGGATTTTTAAGAGAAGAGTCTTGGTATTACTCACAAAGAAAAGGTATAAAGTGCTCATCAAAGCAATGATTTTGTAAATCTAGTAGCAGGTGGCAGTAAATTTCAAGACACCTGCAATGAAAATTAAAAGCTTTATAATTAATAATAATCTTTCTAAAAAAAAGTAATGACTTCTTAGATACACGTGAGAACATACAGAAGAAAAATATCAGGAGCAAAAAAGAGCTGGTTTGGAGGAAAAGGTACCAAACATGTTCAAAAAGCTTGGATTTTACCAGAACTCAGAAATCTGCCTTTCTATGAGCTCAGCGAGCAGCAGAGGGCGCTGGGATAAACGAATTTCTTTTAAACTCCAGCCAACAATACGGATTTTCTGGGAGTTGGATACTGAGGGAGATAGACTTTTATTTCTAGAGATCCATGCCAGATTTAAACGGCAGAGCAGGAATTAATGCCCATTTCTGAAACAGGGCCTTGATTAGGGGCAGACAAAATTTAAAAAAAATCAAACGAACAAACAAAGAGAAAAAAAACCCCAGAAAATAATTCTGAGAAAAGTATATGAGCTAAAGGTAGCATAACTTATTGAATTAAAATTAATTTTTTTCGAGTTCTCAACAAAATAGACATCCTGTTATTGTGGGTTCTTTCCTTCCCAGGGCTATAAACAGATATTTCATTGTGGTAATTAGAATATTCATCCTCACTTTATTCTACTATTACTCACTATTATTCTACTAATACTCACTATTCTATAGTGAGTAATACTCATGGTATTGAACATGGGGTATGGAAGATTTATTCTGATTTTAAGGCAGAGGTCGAAACACCTAATGGCCTGCTAATCAAAAATCAGTGTAAATAAGAACCTGTAACTTTACCCTTAAGGAGGGAAGATTATATCAGCATCATTTTTAGCAGAGAAAATATTTGAGTGTTTGTAATTGCCAAATATGGACCTAGACCTCTTGGAGCAAGTAGAGAGTAGAACACAAAGATGCTCTGAGGTTTGGAGCAGAGAGGCTGAGAGATGAGAAGGCTCCAGGGAGACCTTAGAGCCCCTTCCAGTGCCTAAAGGAGCTCCAGGAGATCCTTATAAGGGCTCTGGACAAGGGACTGGAGGGACAGGACAAGCGAGAATGGCTTTAAAAAGAAAGAGAGGAGAATCAGAATGGATATTGGGAAGGAATTGTTCGCTGTGAGGGTGGTGAGACCCCGGCAAAGGGTGCCCAGAGAAGCTGTGGCTGCCCCTGGCTCTCTGGAAGTGTCCAAGGCCGGGCCGGACGGGGTTTGGAGCAGCCTGGGACAGTGTAAAGTGTGGCAGGGGGGCGGATCGGGCCGATCCTTGGGCTCCGATCCGACCCGAGCGGCTGCGGGGAGCGAGTCCCCATCAGAGGGCGCCGCTGCCCCGCTCAACGCGCTCCGAGCTCCGCGGGCGCCGAGCGGGCAGCGGGGCTCCCTCCGGCCTGGGCACGGCCACGGAGAAAGATATCTATCCCCAGTAAAAAACAAAATTATAATTAAAATATATATATGTATATGTAACGTGTTCCTTTACTGTCGTACCTGCCAGGCTGAGGCTGCAGCGCCCAGCTCACCGCTGGAAGAAACCCCGTTGTTTTCCTTGGAAAAGATCAGAAAAGCGCAACATACACTGCCGGGAAAGGACCGGTTTTCTGGTTTCCCCCCTTTGTTTTTTTTGGTTTTTTTTTTAATTTTTTTACTTTTGAAAGTATGGGCTGTAGTGGTCAGTTTTGGTTATATATGTCGCCTTTTGGACGCATTGCACGTGTGAGGGATAAATCGGTGCAAGTGCTGCTGTGTGGGATTGCTGAATTAAACTGGGGGTGCAGCACAAGTGCAAAAATAAAATGTGAAGGACCTTACTTTTCCAAATGAGTGCCTGTTCGTTTGTCGTGTTTTGCAAATGTAAGACAAATGTAATAATAGCGGGGTTTAAAAGTCAGAATTTAATGCCTATACCAATATGTTAGGAAGGAGATATTGGACGCCAAATCTATTTTAGAGACTTCTTTTTTTCACTCCCCTCCTCTCCCCTCCCCCAGCTGGCAGAACGTATTTAATTCAGGGTGCCACGGAATTGTGGAGCATTAGCCGTCACGAAGCTCATTCACTCTGCCCTGTGCCAGCCTTCATGACTCAAAGACTTCCACAAAAGTGATGGCAAACTGTCCCTTTACGAGCTTGGTATTTTTCTAAGAGGGCCATTCAGATCTATAGGTGCGTAAGCGTGGCTGCACGGGTCTCTCCGCACATCCCCATGCAAACAGCTCACATCCTTTCTCCTTTTCCAGCATTTTTTCACCCTATTGCCTCAGCTGAAATGATCAATCCAACCCACTCAAAGATGTGCCCTTTTTCTGCTCCTCCTCAGTGCAGCACTGGCTGTGCTGAGAACAAAACCTCGTATCTGCTTTAATAACTTCTGGCAACACCGTTGTCCAGCTCCTGCTGTAATATCTGGCTGCTGTTTGCCTCTTGCCTTTTGTGGGTTGAGGCTTTAGGAGAGGATGCACACTGAGAAATGGGGAGGGTGGCAGGGTGGTGTAGAGGCGGACAGGGAAAAGGATGAATTTATACTTTCTGCCTTAATTTGAGGCCGAAGCAAAGAGAAAAAGCAAAGCCCACCCTTCCCACCAGCCAACCACACGCCAGCAAATGTGTCTCCTGATGAAGTTCTCCTCGTTTCCGAGATTATATATATATATATGTATATAAAAGCATCTTTACCTGTAGGACCTTTGAAAGTACAAAGGACACTGTGCACTTTCCCATAGGATCCCGTGCAGAATAACAAAGATTTGCAGGAACCTTATAGGTAGAGCTTGAAATTTCCAGAGACAGGACCTTCTTTCTCTCTGTCTCTCTGCCTCTGTGCCTCATTTTTTTTCCCCATCTTTTTTCCCCTCCTGGTGCACCAGCCCACTGCAAAGCTCGATTGTTTCCTTTCAAAGGCAGAGATGGGCTCTGCTGCCTGTGTCGGCTCTTTGCCGCTCAACGCGTTAAAAAAATCGGACAATGCGAAGGAAGGTTTGCCTGGGGGGGAGAAAAAAAAAATAAAGGTTAAAACTGGTCTAACTCCTCCTATCCCCTTCCAAACCGAAGGCTACCCGGGAAATGCACAAATCCAACTCTATTTTTAATCGTTTTCTGAAAGTACTAAACGCTATTCAAATGTGTGCGCAGAAGGGTTTGCAAAACTCCTATTTTTTTCCCTTTATTTTTTGGCCACATTAAGTATTTCTAAGTTATAAAATATACAGTCCAAGCCTGAAGTCTAAGGCTTTCCAGTGGAAATCATTGATCTAAATTTGCTCCTTTTAGATTTGCTTGAATGTGCTTTGATGAGACGCTGTTTTGGTGTTTAACTGCATATGAGAGGATAATTTCTGGACATGTAAATAAAAGCATATTGCATGTGGGGAAAAGCATCATATCTCGTTGTAAATGATGAATCACTTAGTGCAGAGGCAACTTATCTTTTATTTTATCATAGGGAGGATTGAAAAAATATTAATTTAATTTCATCTATCTATCTATCTATCTATCTATCTATCTATCCATGCATCCATCCAACCATCTACTAAAATAGCAGATATATGCACTGCACAATGTGTGTATTTAATCCTCTATACCAACATATATATGTGTAAATGTATAACTAGATTGACACATATGCATTTAAATACACTCCTATATAAACTAAGCAGGTTAGCATGCACATGTGCATATGTAACATGCAGTCTCCATGTGCCCACATGTGGAAGAATATATATAATTTACATATCTAAATGCGGCAACTAATATGTCTATACATGGAGAAAAGTTGCCTGTTCAGAGATATACGTGTGTGTGTGTGCCTGTATGTGTAAATCTGTGATGGTGCAGCTCTGTGTGTGTATATATTTTATATGCCTGCATATAAGTCTCTATATGTGTGTATATGTCTATATCTAGTCACATATATGTCCGTAGCTATATGTAACTGTGTAACAGATAATGTTTTTTACTATCCCATTGAGGTAGGCTTCTGCAGCCTATTGTTTCAGACAACAGATATAAGTTGCGATGGAAGAGGAACGTCGGATTTGGTGTCTGTCCCCCATTTCCAATTATAGATGGATCATTACAGACAGAGAAGTACTGAGAATCCAGACATCTGCTCTTCACATGAATGCACTCACCTCCTAGAGAACAGCCTGCCATCATGCTCTGGAAACTGGTTGAAAATGTCAAGTATGAAGATATCTATGAGGTGAGTATATAATATGCATATGAGTAAGAGAGTATATGTATATTTAAATATACATCTAGCATATAGATACAGGCATGGCTATATAATGCATATATAGCTCTACATATACATCCAGGCAGAAATAGAGACATACAGCAGCACACACGAATATAGAGATGGGAAACAGAGAGTAAATGCTTAAATGCTTATTTATTTGCATATTTGTATCCAGCATGCCAAGTCCTAAACTTTTTATTTTTTTTTTCATGGAAAAGCTGTTTGATGCGATTTAAAACATCAAAGTAATGATCTGGGGATTGGAATGAGGCAACTTAAAGGCAAGAGTTTGATTGTTTAGATCTCCAATTATATATAATTCGATTAAATATGGACAAATGTTGAGGAAAATGTTTAAAAGAGGGAAAAAATAGAAAAGAAGCACAATCCGGTATTCAGGGACTGGATGCATTTCTTTCTTTTATTTTTTACTTTGCAATTCCAAGCTCAGATCAACGCGAATATGGATGTTTTTACTATTGTTTTTTTCTTGTTTTCACCATCGGATACATTTTTTATGACTTTTTAATACCTCTACACCCACAGATAAGATGTGCATGTATACATATAGTGGCATTAATTAAGCGGCACATACATTCTTGTGCGTGTGCGAGTTCACACGCCCGAACCGATACAGAGGCAGCTCCGCATAGTCCGCGGACAGAAAAGTTGTGAGCTTTATCCAGACCTTATTTTCGAGGTTAAAAAGCAAACCAAAGGGGGAGGAAAAAAAAATCACAGCTCAAACACTGCGAAACCTTTCTTAATTTTTCACGGTTTCCTGAGCCGGATCTTTCCCAAACGGGCTCCGCGAGTGTGTTCCTTGTAAGTTAAACCGGCGTGCGGGGTTTTCTCAGAAACGAGAGGAAAAAAAAAAAAAAACTGAAAAGATGAGTGAGGATGGCGCTCCACAAAATAATATTCTAATTTTTTTCTATTGCTTTTATTTTTTAATTGAGTGCGAGGCGTTTGCGCGGCGATCATGGGGGGAGATTTTCAGAAGGGCGCAATCCGCCACCTCCAGCGCCGGAGCTGCTCCGAGGGGAGGCGGCCGGGCAGGGACCGGGGACCGGGGACAGGACAAGGGCCGGGATGGACTGGGCGCTGAGCAGGGACAGGGGATCGAGCAGGGGCTGGTCAGGGACGCGGCAGGGTCTGGGAAGGGGCTGGGGATCGAGCAGGGATCAGCGACGGAGCCGGGAGCGGGGAGTGAGCAGAGGCCGGGAAAGGACTGGGCACTGAGCAGAGACTGGAGACAGGGCAGGGGCTGGGAGCCGGGCAGGAGCCGGGCTGGGATCGGGCAGGAGCCGGGTGGAACCGGGCAGGAGTCGGAGAGCGACCGGGCAGCAACCGGGGACTGGCAAGCATCCGGCAGGCGCTGGGTACCACGGAGAGAAGGGATTCGGAGACAGGGGCTGGCTGCAGGGCAGGGGCCGGGGATCGGGCAGCGGACGAGTGCTGGGAAGCGGTCGGGCAGGAGCCGGGCAGGGCTGGGGTCGGGAAGCGGCCGGAGCCCCCCGGGAAGCGGCGTCGGGGCCGCCCCGTCCCCAGCCCCGCCGCGCCTGCCCTCCGGGAGCGCCTCGGCACTTACAGAGGGGAAACTCCCGGGAAAAGCGCAGGAAGAGAGCCAGGGAAGGCACAGCTCCGGCTGCTCCCGGCCCGAGGAAGGACGGGATGGAGGGAAGCGGGGAGGGGACGCGCCGGGAGAAATGTCTCACTCCCAAAAGCTGCCGTCAGGCTAATTACCATCGGGAAAAACCAGCATCTGCAGAAGGAGCAGAGAATGAGCACACACACGTGTGTGTTTGCTGTCTGTCTGTCTGTCTGTGCGTGTGCCTGTGCGTGTGTCCGTGCGTGTCCCCGCGTGTCCCCAGCCCGCTGAGCCCTCGCTGCTTTTCCCTCGCCGTCTCCCGGCACAGCCGGGCCATTGTCTCTGCCGGCAGCAGCAGGCGACAAAACATCTCCCGTCCCCGCTGCCGAGGGATGAGGGATTTTTTTTCCACTCTGCTTTTGATGGGGGGTCCTAAGGCGCTGTGGATTTACGGACACCCACGTCTGTAGGTTGCCGTGGGAGAGAAGGGCTGGGGGAGCGGTCGGATGGGATTTGGCCGCGGGCAGGGTGGATCCTAACTTGGGGATGCGCTCCAGGGCATTTTGTAACGTGTAGCCTCTCCAAAAAAAAAAAAATTGTTGTCTTTTTTTTTTTTTTTTTTTTTTTTTGTAAGGCCCTAAACCCTCTAGATTTATGTTTAAAAATATTTCTCTCTCTCTTCTTTCCGATGTATAATTAACAACACGATGGTAGAGGCGTCTCAGCCACTTAAACTGAATCTGTTCTTAAAACAAAAGTGTGTGTGTGCGCGTGTGTGTGTGTGTGTGTCTGTGTGCGTGCAGGGGGGGCAGCTCTGGGAAGTGTGAGTCTATTTAGGAAGGAACGTAAGTTGAACTTTAACAGAAATGGCAGACAGTCCAGTTGAACGGGTTCCTGCAACATCAAAAAGGTTTTATATCGCCCCTGGCTTTGCCTCAAAACTATAAATTTACTATCCTTTAAAATTCACTCCATGCATTTCACTTGCATTTCGCACAGATCTATGTACGTATATATTATTTTTTTCCATATCAGGCGGTAGAAAGATGATTCAGACAAAAAAATAGTGGAGCCCAACAATGCAGATTCAAGTATTTATTTGGCTATTGAGAATAAATATGATCTGTAACACGCACCAGAAAGGCTTAATCTTCACTGTAAATAGACGTATGTTACAGTGACTGCACATTTCTTCTTCCATTTCTTTAAAAATTACCAAAAAAAAAAAAAAAAAAAAAAAAGAAAAACCTCTTTTTTCTTCATTATTACCTTAAAAACCCCAACACCAAACTGCAAGAACAAAAACACCAAAGGCAATCAATTCCTCGTATTAGGAATGTATAATTAAATATATATTAAAACGAAAAGGAAATATACTTCTTTTCTCCTCCTCCTCCTCCTCTTCTTCTTCTTCTTCTTCTTCTTCTTCTTCTTCTTCCTCTCCTCCGCCTCAAGCATTGCTTCATTTCGCTTCCTTGCTCCAGCTCAGCAGTCTCCACTTTCCGCATCTTCCTCCGCTCGAGTTAATTGAAGTTCTGCCTCTTCCTCGCTAAACTTTTTCCCCCCTCTCCCTCTCCCCAAACTCTGCCTCTGCCAGCCCCCCTCGTCTGATTACATCTAGTAATTCTCCACTGAATGAACGTCATTTACAATAGTAGGGGAGCTCTCGAGCTGGCTGCCAGCTTCACGCTCCATTTGGTCCTGCATTCTCCCTTTAAAGTAGTCGTGTAATATTAATAGTCATGAATATCAATTATTATGAGGCGGTGTAGAGAAGGAAAGGGAGGAAGGGGTAGCGGAGCAGTCTGAGCCTAGCCTTGGGTTGAAGAGGATTGTATTTGGGAGCTCAAAGGCAAAAAAAGAAAAAACAAAACAAAAAACCAAAACCAACAAAAACCAAAAAAAAAAAAAAAAAAGGAGGAAAAAAACCCCGAGAGGGAGGGGTAAATCATATATGTAGATAGAGGTTTCCAGGCTCGGTTTTGGGGGCACTGGTCTTTTTTTTTTTCCTTTTTTTTTTTTAAACCTTTTTTTTTTTTTGATGGATAGACTTCGAAATATCTCAAGCTGTTCTCCTGTGTCCAACACGTCCCTTTGCAGATCTCCTTGATATTTTTTCCCTCCAATTGTTAGTATTATCACCATTATTTTATTTTTAGCTATTACAAGACTTTTTTTATTTCCAGATGTTAGTCCACACCTATTCCGCCATGGTGAGTTTGGATCCATGTTGTACTAGAATTGCATGTTCTCTCTCTCTCTCTCGATCTGTTGTGTCTCTCTCTCCCTCTCTCTGTCTTTTTAAACGCCTTTGGCTTGGTAATTTAGCACAATAATTGGAGGAGGCTTGCAGCTGCTTCTCCCTTTTTGCATTGTGTGTTCCCGATTTGAGCTAGGGGAGTCTGGGGGGGAGAGCAGGGGGAAAAAGAACTTTTTTCCTTGTTGTTTTTCTTTTTTTTTTTTTTTTTTTTTTTTAAGCCATGTGTGCCATTGCTTGTGGGGGTTTGAACGACACTTTGTGGAATAGATATTTTTCTTGTTTACTTTAACCTCGCAGTTTCAGTGCGTTGGAGTTGGACAAAACTCCTCTCCCACCTTTTCTCTGAAGCCTGGACACGCTCCCCCCACCCCCTGTCCCCCCCACACACCCCAAAGACTTTTCATTACAATTAACCCCCACCCCATTCTCCGGAATATAATATTGGAAAAGGAAACAAAAGACACTGGAAGTTGCTGCAGAAATCATAGCGTCTGGATATGTTCAATACCGATGTTTCATTTTTATTTTATTTGATTTTTTTTTAATTATTTTTAAGGGGTAGATTCCCTTTAAGCAAAGATTCCCTGTAATTTTTATTTTGGCTTTCTTTTTTATTTTTTTTTCTTTTCCTTTTTTTTTTTTCTTTTTCCCAAGTCCATTTTCACACAACTTCTCCCCTCGGAGTCTTCCGAGAAGTGCAACTTTCTTTTTGGGCTTTTCCACGTGAAAATGGGTTGGTGATTTTGAGTTACAGGACTTGAGCAGAGGGAATAAACAGATGTTGGGAAACTTTAGGCAGGAGAACGGGTGGGTTGTCTGGATAGACGGGTGGTTTGGTGCTCTTAATTTTTTAATGTTCTCTTCTTTCCCCTTTGGTTTGATTTGAGGGGGCTGTGGATTGGGAATTATACTACTGGTCTGAAATCGCAGATCGTACATGTATTCGGAGCACTACTCCTACATTTTTAATTATGACATTTAGCAATTCTCCCTCACACCCCCTCCCCTTCCCCTTCCTTGATAGTTCCTGGGAATAGACACGACGTGGGTGCAAAACATTGGAATATTTCTAATAAGTGGAGGGAGAAGGGGGCACATCTGAATCCCACTTTCCAGCTGTTTACATCCTATTTTACTTTATTTAACTCCGGGGGTGGGTTTGTGCTCCTTTTGATTTTTAGTGGGGTTTTTTTTTGTTGTTGTTGGTTTTGGGGTGGTTTTTTTTTTTTCTAAAAAAAGTCCTCTTTTTTTTTGTTGTCGTTGTTTGCATGTCGTTCCGCCCGTAGGACCGGCATGATGGAGTGCCCAGCCACAGTTCCAGGCTGTCCCAGCTGGGATCCGTCTCGCAGGGACCCTACTCCAGCGCTCCTCCGCTCTCTCACACCCCATCCTCGGATTTCCAGCCGCCTTATTTCCCACCCCCCTACCAGCCTCTTCCTTACCACCAAAGCCAGGACCCTTACTCCCATGTCAATGACCCCTACTCCCTGAACCCCTTGCATCAGCCCCAGCAGCACCCCTGGGGACAGAGGCAGAGGCAAGAGGTGGGATCAGAAACCGGGTCACTGCTGCCACAGCCTCGGGCCGCCCTGCCCCAGCTCTCGGGACTGGACCCCAGGCGGGACTACCACTCAGTTCGGAGGCCAGATGTCCTCCTGCACTCAGCTCACCATGGCCTTGACTCCGGCATGGGGGACAGCCTTTCTCTGCACGGCATCGGACACCCAGGCATGGAGGAGGTGCAGGTAAGGCACGGCGTTTCTTTCTCCTGGAGCCCCCGTCCCTGGGCTGGGAATGGTCACTGAGGGATTTCCAGCAATATTGCTGTGGGTTGTCATTCTTTTTCCCCACCGGTTTGTAACTCCCCCTCCCTCTTCCTCTACTTTTCTCTATTTTTTTTTTTTTTAATAAGAGAATTTATTTCCTCGCTGTCACGCACAGGCTCTGCTTTATAAACCCTCCCCTACATGGCGAGGCAGCAAAGCAGGGGGAAGGCAGACATGCTGCTCGAAATATTCCACGTGTTTCAAAAGCTGGCAGAGTTCAAGCTTGGCTTTTCGAATTCCAGTTATTTCCCATGCAATCTCATCTTCCACTCCCCTCCACCCTCCCCCTCCTCCCCCCAACCAATTTCCTGCCGTTCAGAGATTTTGATGAAACTGTCGAATTACTACATTTTTCATCCGGGAGGGAGGGAAATTATAAACAAAACCCAAATCAAAAGCAATAACTGGTGATCAGGAACAAGTCCCTTGTCCGTCCCCCCACCCCCTTATCTGTTAAGTGTGCCTGGTGAGGTAGCGCTGATTTTAAATAGTTTCATTCCTTCTTTTGGATAACAAAGGAGTTTCGCCGGGCTCAAAGCGCAGTATTTCCCAGCTTCCTTCCATCCCACGCGAAACTCTTCATCACGTGTTATTCCCTAAAAACAGAAGGACCCTTAACAGCTTCAGTGCTGGGGCGGTCTGCACCTTGCTGGAACAGGGCATGGCCAGCCCGTGGGGACCCCCGAGCCTGGGGCTGGAGCCTCCAGGGTCCAAATCCTGCCTTAAGCTCTCCTAATCGGGATTTTGGGGGTTTTCCTCCATGCGTTTTTATATTTTTCCCCCTAAAATTTCTTTATCATATATCTTATCTGTGTATGCATTTAGTCTTGGGATAGATAAAGGTATGGAGCACTGAATGAAATAACGACTTCAAAGTTACAGAAAGGGGAAAAGAGGAGCTGGGAAGATAAAAAATAGCCGTAAAAAAGGGATACTGCAGAACATGAGAGGAATGAGCGGCAGGGAAGCGGAGGGGATGCATTGCTTTGGCTTGAGGCTTGTCTTAGGGCTGCAGGGGAAAATCCCCGAGCTTTGCTGGGGAGAAATGTTTTAGAAAAAGAGAAAGGTTTTGCTGTTTGGATCTGCTCCTGCATCCGAGCTCAGTGACCGTCGGGTCGCTGCTTTCTGCGGGTTTCCGAGGTGGCTTTGAGACCTGGAGGCAGCCCCCGGGTGCGATGCGCAGGTCTCGTCTCGCATTCCTGGCTCAGACAAAGTGCTTTGCAAGTCAAGGCGAGTTTTGCCTCTGTGAATGCAGAAAGCAGATCGCTCTCCTCCTTTCTCTCTGCAGCCGATAGGCGTTAGGGACTGCTTGTGCCTGGGTATTTACACTTTCCCCAAAGAATAGCCGGTAATTTTTGTGCTTTTGTGAGAAAGAGAGTAAAGCAGAGGAGAGGGAAGGAAAGAGGTAAAATGAGAAGAAAAAGATAAAATGCAGAAAGGACTAAAGGAGAGGGGAAAAGAAGAGAAGATAGAGAAGAGAGGGAAAGGAGGGAAAAAGATAGGGAAAGAAAGACATGAAGAAGAGAAGGGAGAGAAGAAATAATAGGAAAGAAGGAGCTCAAATAAAGCAGTTCTCCATCCATTTCCCAATAAAACATCCCTTCTGCGGGAAGGGCACTGCACTGGCGGAAAGTGCCTCCCCTCGATGCTCTGGGGGCATCGCGGCCACCCTCGACTGCTGCCCGGGGCTGGCGGGGCCAGGGTGGGTGAGGTGGGGCAGGGATGGGATGGGATGGGATGGGATGGGATGGGATAGGAATGGGATGGGATAGGATGGGACAGGGGAAGCCGCAGGGCCGGGGTTTGGGATACTGAGACAGCAGGAAATTAAACAGGCCCCTTATTTCTGAAAGTTTGTTCCCAGGCTGGGGAAGGAGGAGAAGAGGGAGAGGAGGGTATCCCAAGGAGAAACACGTGAAGGGAGAGGTGTCCAACTGCAAGTTAACGCTGGCAGGAGGGAAAGCAGCCCAAAACTCGCTGTTGCCACTCAGCATTTTCTATTCTTGTCCCTCCACTAGTGACAGATGAAGTTGGGCAGTTTTCCATCTTGATATTTGACATGGATTTATTCTAGATTCGGGGAACCTTTTCTAGCAACAGGAATTTTTATTCAGGCGATGCACACACATTATCCACCATCACTAGATAAAATTTTCAGAAAGGGTTTCAAATACTGAGGTTTTTTTCTTATTTCAGTTATCCAAAAAGTTGAACGGATATCTAGATGTACAGTTGGATAAAGATGTTTCTCTTTGCTGTAGCTTATGCATGTCAGATCAAAAATGTGCCATGAGAATGGGCTGGGCTGAGGAGAAGGAGACAGAGAAAGAGAGTGCGTGACAGAAAGAAGCAGTGGTTATTTTATAAACACCAAATCCAGTCCATGTGTGAGCCATTGTCCAGGGCCAGAATTAAGTGATTGTAACACGATAGCGCTCTGTTATTGTAAACAGGACACACTGTATTGCTATTGCTGCCCCTCTCGAGAGGAATTTTCAATCCGCGATTTACAGCCTTCAGACAGGGAGCAGAGAAGACAAGACCTCCTTAATGAACAAAAATTTGCATCTTCTAATAGAGACTCTGAAAAAAAATCCACCTTTGCACTCCCAGATATTTTTCCCACCGGCTGGGTTAAAGTAGGATTACAGTAATAAAGGGTTCGATGGAGGAAAAATGGAGGGGGAAATTCAGACTCTTTGAAGGAAAATATGGAGCTCAGTTTTTAAGGTTTTCACTCAGATATATCCACAGAAGTTGAATAAGGTGGTTATAGGTAGAACTCAGGAAGCTTCACGTTATCAGATTATTGGAGGAGGGAAGGGAGGGGAATCTTCCTCTCCAGATTTTCCAAGTATATCTGGAAACTCATCACCTTTCCCCTCCCTGCACACACACCTCCGCTCCTCCTCCTCCTCACTCACGCTGCTGCTACGCACCAGCTAGAGACACGGAAAGTTAAGTTGCACCAAAACACCCAAGTCTCTTATAAAGTAACCCCTGGTATCACTTTTAACTAAAGAAGTCTAGTAATTAAAAGTCTGAGTTGTTTTTCCACGTTTCCGCATGCAGTCCTAATTAAATCTTTACGATCCTCTCTGTGACTATTAACTGCCAGCATGCTGAGCGAATATCCTGTACAAAAACCCAGCAGGAGGGCGTAATTAGATAGAAAATCAGACAGGAGTCTTCTCATTAACTACAACAACTAACCCACGTTGCTGATGGAGCGAGCTGAGTGCACGCACACGCATAAAGGGTGCGCGCTACCAGAGATAAGGTGAGATAAGGAGGAGAGATGGGGAAAAAAAAGAAGGACAAAAAAAAAAAAAAAGAAAAGAAAGAAAAACGGAAGGTGATGTTTCACGTTTACCTCGGTTTCTGTGCCATCGAGGTGCGCCACGCTGCACTCCAGCAGGCTGCAGGATTTGCTCATCATCCCTCGTTGGGAACTGCTCAGGGAAAGGAGGGAAGACTTTGTAATTTTATTTTGTGCCCTTTAGGTATGTAGCCTATTGATTATGAGAGAGAGAGAGAGAGACACAGCCATGCCCAAACACAGCACATAAGGCACCGCTCTGTGTGTGCGCTCGTTTGAGGGTGGATTCAAGGAAAATGAAGGGAAAGCTCTCATAGAAAATATTGTTCTATCGTGTTTTGGGGAGATGTAATTTTCTCCTAAACCACATTCCATCTGGAATGTCTCCGCTGAGCACAGAGACGGAGATAAGGGCCGGATCCGAATAAGCTCAGCTTCTCGGCATAGCAAAGATAAAGTTAAAATCATGGTGAAGTAAATCATTGCTTTGCTGGAAAGGTGCTTTGCTTATCAAGGAAAAACGTGACAACTCCCCAGATACGCAATAACACTGAAAACCCCAAACTCTTTAGTAATAGCAATGGGGAAAATAAAATAATAAAGCAAATAAACCCAAAGGTCCCCCTTTACCTCAGAATTTACCCTAAAACGTAACCCGTCAGAATTCTGCTATTAATTGTTCTTACGACACCTCTTCTTTTTCGGACATGGCTTTACTGTGCTAGGCACAGACTCAGCAGTAATTTTAGTTTGTTTGGGGGGGTTTTGTATATGCCACTTTCGTTTTGAGAAATGAAACCCAGCATTTGCTGTGTCCTCTGTGCCCGTCTTTGTTCTCTTCCCTGCTAAAGAAGTTAATGCCATAATAACAGGTGTGCTCCTCGGCAGGCTGGAAAGAAAGGGGGGGGAAAGGGGGAAACAAGGCTTTGAAATTCGGAGACTTTTTTTTCCCGGGCAATGAATTTGATGGTTCATACTTTTGATAATGTGTATTCCTGCTCCTCCCTCCCCGTCCCCACTAATTCGGGGCATGGAAGCAACCTCGGGAGCTGTAAATCTCTCTCTGCTCGTCCCCTGTACGATGTGGGCGTTGCACAGCGCTCCGAAAGGCTCAGGCTTTAATTAAAAGTCCATAATGTAAACTATGATATATAAAAAGTAAATGGCCCTTGAATTAGTAAGATGTAGCAGGGTTAAACAAACAAACAAAAAAAAAAAAAAAAAAAAAAAAAAAGAAAAAAGAAAAAGGAGGAGGGGGAGGAAAGGGGAGGGAGCATTTAAGTTGTCCTTAATCGTGTTCATTTATGTCATGCAATAGATCTTGCAGATGTTGCCAAATTGCCACATTTTCAAAGGAAGAAATATAAAGCTTTATGGAATGCAAAGAAGTCTATGTGATATCTATGTTTTATAAGATAACAAAACCAGTATTGCACCCCATATGCTTCACACCTCCTTTTGTTTTATTAGAAGACTATATAATTTGTAAGAATTTAATTTCCTTGTTGATTGGGGAAAATAATAATAACAATAATAATAATAATAGTAACAACAATAAAAACAAATCCCTCCTCCCCTAGTGAATTAATATAAATGGAAATAACAGGGACTCCAGTTTGGAATGACATGATTTATGTACGTGATTCTTTAATATCCAGTCAATTTGAATAGTGATGTTTTTATATCCACAGTCAGTTGAAGATGCCAATAACAGCGGTATGAACTTATTGGACCAGTCTGTCATTAAAAAAGGTATGGATTATTCCAACAAGCTAGACAAACTTTTTACTGTGTAGCGATATCTTCATGATATATTTTGACTTTGGGGCAATGAATTTCTCCGGGAAGCAGGCGCCCGTGGCAGCAAGATGAATAGTTGATTGGATCAGCAGACAGAGTGAAGGGATAAGACATGAGAAAAGTTTATATCCCCGCCTCCCCCGCCCTTCAAAGGGTTTAATTACACCAATCCTCTCTAATGGGGCACCCCGTGCTCCAACACCGCCCCCCTTCCCTCCCCTTCTCCCCCCGATTCTCTTCAGTGGGGACCCCTTGGCTTTTAATGGGGTTGATTCCCTTTGGGGCTTCAATGCATTCCCCAGGCGAATCAAACGCGGAGAGGAGAGAAAGAGATGCCCATGGAAAGGCAGACTCAGCCCTCCAAGACTCCCCCCTTCCCCCAAGATTCCCCCCTTCCCCGTGCCCATTTTTTACATCTCCCTACATATGCGCCCATGATTTAGTGCAACTGCAGAATCACCCCATACTGTTAAAGCGAATGTGATATTAACAAATGTTTGCAGTCTCTTGTACAGCTGTAAGCAAAATAATTAACTAATTAAACTAATTAAATGTAATTACAATAACTCATTTTGGGCGTATTGCAGCTGCTTAATTTTTTTACATTTCTCTGACAGTCACTCGGAGATGCTTGGCGATTAGTGTTGTGTTATGCTGATAGACATTAAACAGATCACACGCTGCAAATGGAGGGAAAGCTATCTTTAATTATCTAAGGAGTTTCTATTTCTAGATTCAATTTTAAGTACCAGAGATGAGGTTTAAAAACGCTGTCCCTTATGCTTACTATCGACGGCGCTTATCTCCAGGACCTTGTTATTTGTCAAATGCGCACAAATAGTTCAACAGCGACGATTTTCTAGGATGCAAAGCAAAATAACAGGGAGGGTGTTTATGTAAAATGTGTTGAAGGCAGCATGAGGTCTTTCCGTGTATTTATTGTTTGTTTTGTTGTCGGTTGTTTGGGGTTTTTTTGTTGTTGTATTTTTTTTTCTTAATTTGAATACTCATGTACGGTCTCTCTTTCACACACAAGATCAAGGTCTGGTTATATGAGTAAGGACTAATGAAAACTTGAAGACCATTTGACAGCACCATTTATGACTATTGGTTGAAAGGTCGAAGGGTTTGGGTTTTTTTAAAGAAATTGAGAGTTACTTAACTTTAAAAAGAAAAAAAAAAAAACACCAAAAGGGTTATATGTTTCTGCTGTTTTGGTTCAGTTTGAATGTTTTGTGGTGTTTATATCAAGGTCTGTAACCTGACGGTTTCTGCTTGTATTTTTAACTTTTTTTTTTTTCTCACTCTCCTCCCTCTTCCCCACCCCCACTTGACACCTCATACACTCCCTCTTGGGCGCGTTTGATTAATTGGCACTTGATTTGTGGTCGAGAGACTCCTCGCTAAGGTTGTTCCATGATGGTCTTTCGCAGAATACACAATCCAAAACACTCTTTTTATTTCTTTTTTTTTTTTTCTTTTTTTATTCTTTCCCTTTAACACACAGCCCGCCTGTGTGTCTCCCTCCTTTAGCTGACGAGGACAGCGCAGACGTTCCGTGTGCGTGCTGGGTGGTGCAATTAGACAGCGAGTGGCACTAGAATGTCAATGCCTGCAATTATTACGTATTAGGCAGAGGTTTTAATGTGCATTAGGCATATATTTGGGTGTGCTTCGTGTGTGTGGGCATTGCAGCGGCCCCAGATGGAGCAGCTGCTGCCCGAAGAGACCCAGTCCCATCTAGGTGGGATTACTTGTGCCTATTTGCAGCCAGAAGAGATACCCTGAGTTAACACATGATGAACAGGAGACACATGCTATTTGGAAATAAGGTTACTAAGAAAGAGCCCGAGATGCATTTGCGACTCTTTAAAAGTCACTGCAGCAGAATTTTCTTCCTTAGAAGTGAGGCTGAGATCCAAGAAACTTTCCAGCATAAGGGAATATTTTATTATTTTTTCATTCCTTTTTTTTTTTTTTTTTTTAATTTTTGGGTTTTTTTCGCACAGGGAGTTTCCTGGGTGCAGAGGAAGAGAAATGGGTAATAAATAGCAGGTCACATTTGTGGCAGTCAATATTTAATCAGGACGAGGGAAGGAGTAGCACAGCGTTCAGTATCAATTTCGCTTTGTTCCCTGCAGTTTGTAGCTGTGAGGGTGTACTTTGAAACAAGAACAAGTTATTTAAACTCTGTGAGTAGTTCTTGCAGGCAGATGGCACGGATAGATAGACAGACAGACACGCAGGTACTGACAGATTTTTGTGCAGTGGAGCACTCCTGCGGCTCATATTCTGTACAAGAGGGTTGCAGGGGGTCTGCTCCACCTAATCACAGCTCAGGGCCTAAAATTCTTTCATTGCAAAGTAGTGGGAAAAGTATGAAGGGGATTTGAAGCCTAAACTTTAATTATATCACCCAGGCTGTGTCTGTTCCTTTATGGCCTCTGAGGCCTGCAGAGGGAATTATCTCTCTATGCAAAAGCTTTGCCAAAATATTAAGGAAATTATATCGGGATTCATACACGGCTATTGATTGATCTCACGTATCGATCCCGCACAACAGCTTACATATACCCAGGCTGTTGTTATGTTTGCTACCCGAGCTTACTTGACATTTCTGAAGTAATTTAGTTAAGAGGAAATGAGTTGTTCCCAGTAGAGAGAGCAAACGAGTGGAGTGAAGGTAGCCAGCGTGATAAATGGCTCTTTCATTTGGAGATCTCCAGAGCTCGTTTAAGGCTAATTTTCTGTATTAGCCCCCTTTGAGCTATTAATGCAATAGGCAGGGACCGTGGCCCCTTGTCTCGTAGCTGCCCCATTAGAGCGAGCATTAAGCTACCAAGCCTGAACTCCACCGTGGTGGTGGTGGCGCTGAAATAATGAAAGGTGCTTTTTAAACTCCCCTAATCTAAGCTGGCAGAGGGTGGTTAATACGATTTGAAGGGGGCTGGTCAATGAACAATCAATAAACTAATAATGAGAAGGATGCGGTACATTAACAGCCTAAAAATCCAACGAGACATTAAAAAATCATCTCTAACTCCCACTTCCATTAAGGTTTGGGTGGTGGAAGTGGGAGGGAGGGAACCAGATAAATCATCAAGATGATAATAATCACCAAGAACATTAATATCAGATTCAACTCAGCTTTCAGAGCTTACCGGCTGTTTTGAGGCCTTTCTCTCGATTTTTGCTGAAATGAAGAGAAGGTTTGCCATGTGTCAGGAATAAAAGATCGGGTCCCCTTGTCAAATGCTCATCTGAAATTTCCTTGGCACTCTCTATGGTGAAAGAAGTTGTCTTCCTGCAAAACCTTACATGGCCTGAGTCCCAAGTTAATTTTTTGTGACTCTGGGGCACAGTCAGTGACCTTAAAATTATTCTGATGTATTTATTTACTTTCAGCTGTTTCTGACGATCTCCTGCACACTCACATCTGATTTAGCATGAAAGGCCATTTTAACTTGAAGCCCTTAATTCATGGTCTTGCAAACACGCTCCCGTTGTTCCTCCTATTTTAAGGAAACTCATGAAAGAAGGTGTCTTAACCTTTTGTTTTTGGCTGTTAATAATCCAGCACGAGTTTTCTGCCCACCCCTCGGAGCAGCTGATCAATGGTTAACCGAGAACCGCTCTGGCCTCGGTTTTCAGGCGATGGATGTGGGGCTCAGGAGATGCTGCTTTGGTTTCGTGCTCATTCCCGGGTTACCCACTGAACCTGAGGATCCCCTTTAATTAAATGCAAAACAGTTCCGAGGGAATACATTCCACCTTGAAATTCAGCTTTCGGTGGGGGAGAGGGGCTGGAGGAGAGCAGGGGACGAGGGGGACAGAAGGAAATGCGAGATGAACTCTCACTTTTTGTGTTTTTCATCTTAATTTTCCTTAAAATTAAGATAAGATCCGGGTCTCTTCAGTTTCAGCGGCTCAGGCGATGCTCCCGGACGTTTTAGGTTTGGCTCCTGAGTCAGACCGAATCACCCCTTACAGCAAAATCCCGTTGTTAGCATGGACAAAGAGCTTCTTACTCATTTAAAGCCCAGGCAGAGTAAAAATTGTGAAAGTAGTTTGATAGTTTATTAGTAATTAAGTCACCCACGACGTTTTTTAGTAAGAAGCACGAGAAATATTTCTTCTAATTGATAATTTAACTGACTGTTCCACTACGATATTATTCAGCTGGGTTATTGCAATGGTAGCCATAGTTTAAACCCTTATTGAACAGCTGTTTGCAGGACATAAGTCTATTATTTCTTTACTTTTACTGTCGTCAAAACAGCTTTTTTTCACCCCATCTCCACTTTGTGAACATTTTCACACGTTTGTGGCGAGCAGCCCAACAGAAAACCACCACCACCAAAAAAAAAAAAAAAAAAAAAAAAAAAAGGAAAGAAAAAGCCTAAGACTTAATGTATGCACAGAAAATTGTAAACATGTAAAGAACTGAAAGCTTCACGCTGAGTTTCGCCATGCTCCATTTCCCCACCATTTCCTGCTGTCGTTCTAAAGCGATCTCACTCATCTAGAGATCCCGTTTGCGGGAACAGTATGCTTATAATTACTAACAAATCAAGCGGCTACTGTTGCTCTCCCGGTTTATTGATAAGCTGAAGAGAAATGGAAGGAGGAGAAATGACAAAGAGGCTGGAGGTAACCACAAGAGGAGAGAAAGGAAAAAAAAAAAAAAAAAGAGGGAAGAAAAAAGATAGAAGGATGGAAAAGGAGAGGGGGGAAAAGAGACAAAGGAGGTAAATAAAGAAAAATAAAAGAAGGGAGAAAGCAGAGATTTTGAAAAGGGGAATTATGTATTTGTGAGTGCTCACACACGCAGCAAAGTAGAGTTTGGGAGTGAAAGAAAATCGAAGAGTTTCTGCTGGGGATGACAAGAAGTAAATGGGATAAAGCGAAAGCAGGAGCGGTGGGGACGCTGCATGTTTACTGGTGTGTTATTTTCTGTGTCATTTCAGCAATTGTGGCAGTCCCTGACCAACTGGGGAAGTTGACATTGGCTAAAAATACACCCTGCATTCGGGTTTATTTACATAGGCTCGGGGATTTGACACAGGCAGCCGCACGCACGGACGTGGAGATCTCCTCACCCACCAAAGCTCCACGTTCTGTTATCTCTGCTGATGTCTGGGCTGTGCCTGAAAAGCTCCAGCCATGATAAACATATAGATATGATATAGATAGAGATAATTCATTCCATGGCAAACACTTTTTTTGAGGCGGCATTAGGTAATTTACAGAAGATATGGAGCCTAGATAGAATAGATCTCTTCAAAGCTATGAAATTGCGATAGATATGCTTACACCGCCTGGCAAGCCTCTCAGATGGGTTCAGAGCTATCAGGCTCCAGCTGATGGGTTTGTTCATCCCGTTCTTTTCAGGGAAACACTGCTAGGAAAAGAAGCTGGGGAGCCCTCAGCATAGCAGGGAAGGGAGCCAGCCTGCTTCCCAAAAGCAATCTGCAAGGAGGGGGAAAAAAACCCCCACCGAGCACGTGAAAATCCATAATTCAAAGGTTAACTAATGTAATGAGTGCTCCAAAAGGCCAAAGCGAGCGGGGTGAGGTACATTTAAGCATTGCACGGGTCTTTCTCTCTTTAGTGAGTTTGGACTAAGATCAGATGTTCGTGGAATTGCTGCCTCTTGTTTAATTTCTCAGTTCACTGGACAGTGACCTGATAAACTGGTCACTAAATATAGCCACGGTAAAGGTGTACTCGAGCCACAGAGCCCGTGTATTTGTCCCAAGGAAAAAAAAGTGCCAGTCATGAAAATCTGTCTGGTGGCACTGCTTTTATCCAACTTTTCTTTTTTTAATTTCTATTTTTCTACCTGATGCTTCACTCAGACAGATCATTGTGCATGAAATAAGCGATATATTCACATATATTGAGGGGAGAAATGCAAATACAATTTTTTTGGTCTGCTGGTACTGCCTCTGCTATACAAACAAGTCTTTTCCTATAGAATCAATGGCAAAAAAAAATCCTAATAATATCAATGAAAGCAGGAGCAGGCCTCTAACTCTTTTATAACTATTTCTGAGCCATTCTCAAACTATTTGAAACCATCTTTATGAGCTGCATAAAGTGCCTAACTAAAAATAATAGAGAAATAGGAATCCATTTCACTTTCCGATTCCCTGAAGTCAAGCCACTCGAAATAATTTGTTTATACTGGAGACTATATACAAGGCATTCGAAGCAATATGTATATCTAAAATCGACATGCCTTTTGGTTTTTAGCTGTTATAGAGCTTTTATTGTGGGGGTCTGGTCTGGCAGTAGGAAATGATCTGCAATAAAAACAGTGAAACACGGTTGTGTCTATTCCATGCACTGAGGTTATAAAATTGGCAATTGCCCAGTAGTTAGCACTTGGTAATATATTAGGATACCCGATCTTATTGTTTAGCAGCTCCAGACGACTTAAATATCCGCTCAACCCTAATGGTTTGATTCTCCAGATATGTTGCAAATAAACAGGGCTTTTATGACTTAACTGACATATATTATAACTACCTAAATAGCTGGCATATGTGCATAATAGAACCTTATTATTTGCCGAATTGGTTTTGCAATTGATTGAGTGGAAAGGGGAGATTGTGCAGCAGTATCTGCTTGAAGAGGGTGTGTAATCAATTAGTCTTCTCCTCTGAAACATGCCCGCTGGACTGCCAGGGCTCTCCCACCAGCGAAAGCCCCAATTTCAGCCTATATTTTCTATAAGGAAACTCGTGTTGCCACGGATCCGAGAGGAAGCTGCAGTAGCAGCTGTCAGCTCTTATTAACTCCTGCATAAAACATACCTTAAGTATGGTTTGTTATCAATTACTTGCAGAAATGAAACAACTGGGAAAATGCACCGAGGCTCCCTATAAATTAAAGTGATTGGGTGATTGATTAGAGCACCTGCTGTAAATCATAACAGTTACACACAATTATGAGCGAGTTATTAAAGTTCATTTGTAAACAAAATTCATGTCACGGGGGAATTGCTCTCAGTTTTAGTTCAACCAATTATTTTTGTTTATTTCTGAGTGTGTCTGGTTGCTATTATAAGAATTTGTTCGTTATAATCCCTTGGTTACTCTTAAAATAACCTCACTGGTTTCTCAGAGAAAAGAAAAACTTATTTTTATCTTGGAGAGAACAACATGGTTTTATTTTGTTTAGTTTCACTTTATCATTCTCCTTTTACTTTTCCCTATAACTACCTTTAAATACGTGTTGCAGTAACTAAATCAGTTTTATTCAGGGGCAGGAGAGTTCCTTCTAATTCACGGACAGCACAATATGATCAGAGTGGAGAGCACCACGGTTAGACCAGATATTTTTTTTCCTGGTGTTCATTTTTCTGAAGGAAAAGACTCATTTTATTTCATAAACCAGACTTAATAAAAACACAAAGCAATAACAGAGCTGTCTTCTCATTGCTGTATCCTCCAGCCTTGATACTTATTTAAGACAGCAACTCCCTTTGTGTAGTGAATTTATTCCTGGCTCAGCTTAGCAGTAATGGAAGCATTAGCCAAAAAAAAGTAAATTTTCCTCTTTTTTTCCCCTCCAGAAAGGCGCTGTCCGTTGTACAAAAGGCATCGGGGGGCTCTGGGTGAGACACAGGCTCAGACCCGAAAGTTGCCAGGTGCTTGCCAATATGTATTTTATTTCCCAATGATCAAACCCTGCATAGAGGCTGTACTGTACCACCCTTCTCTCCATCCATCATTCATGGAGCACTTTCCTAGAGGTTGGGGGAGCAGCACCCTTTAGGTTGCTGGAGGTAGCCAGAGATTCAAAACTCCCTTTCATTTTGCTGTTCTGTGCATGTCAGAGAGACTGTGCTTACCCTGTGCTCCTTCGTGGCCTGATGGTTTCTCTCTCCCCTCCCTCCCATTTTCTCTCTCCAGTTCCAGTTCCTCCAAAATCTGTTACTTCTTTGATGATGAATAAAGATGGGTTCCTGGGTGGCATCTCAGTCAACACCGGAGAGGTGTTTTGCTCTGTACCTGGCCGCTTGTCTTTGCTTAGCTCAACTTCAAAGTACAAAGTAACGGTGGGAGAAGTTCAAAGGCGCCTTTCCCCTCCAGAGTGTCTGAACGCATCCCTCCTAGGAGGAGTACTTAGAAGGTAAGAGGCTGGGGGAAATCTGAGAATGTGTCTGGGCCTCCATGCATGCTCCAGAAACCCTTGGTCAACAGTACAGATGATTTCAGATGTGCATTGGTCCTACTGTCAGAGCCTGTGTGTGTAATGCTGGTGATAAGGCAAAAAATATGCTGTGTTCAAACATTGGGATGAATATATGGAGAGTAGAGATTTGGCCTTGCTTAGCTACCAATGAAGGAACTGAGACTGAAAGATTTTCTCCTTGTCCATGCACACATGTTCTACCTTTTCTCCTCCTCACACTTCTCTCTTATTTTGGTGATAGGCAAAAATATGCTGTGCTCAAGCATTGGGATGAATGCATGGAGAGTAGAGAAAGATTTGACTTTATTTAGCCACAAATGAAGGAACTGAGGCAGAAATTTTTCTCCTTGTCCCTGCACACACTTTCTATCTCTTTTCTCCTCCTCATACTTCTGTCTCAGGAAATGGACAAAAGGAAATGCCCTGATGGGCTTGTTTCAGGCTGAACTGCAAGTATTTCAGGAGCTGATGTATTTCTAGGGATTTCCTAGATAAACCCACGAGGTTTGCTCTGTATGGCATAACGATCAGGCAATTATGTCAATTGTGACAAGTGGTGTCACAAAAGGAATTGGCAGGGATCTGATAGGCAAACTTGTCTAAAGAAAAGCCACCAACAGGTAGCTCTGAAAGTCAGAAACTTTGTGTTTCACGCAGAGAAAGTTGCTGCAGCTCACACCTGGTCTAGAGGCCTTTGCTGCTTAATATTTGTGCAAATCACCCACTAATGTCCTGTTGGATTTTGCAGAAGACCTCAAAATAGTTGGCATTGTTGGCACTGAAGAAAGTGGAGAGCAAGGAATAGCCCTGAGGTTCGGTTGCCACTCTATCATAACGAGTGGGAGGTGGAGCTTTTATGTAGAAGCAGCAAGAATTTAAGCTCTGAGGCCATTAGCTGGAAAGGCTAGCAGAGAGAAAGGGCTTTTTCTTCTTGGCAGTGCCTGAGGGACTGAGGATTGTCAGCTCGGCCTGTCTGTAGGAAAGGTGAGCTCAGGTTCTGTCTCCAGTCACAACAGGAGAGAAGCCACGAGGTTACAATATGAGGTACCAGCTCACACACTCAGGCTGTGGGGGTACAAGATTTTATTTTCTGTGTGTGAGGGAGACACCAGACTGGAATAAAAATCTTAATTTTTTAACAGGGACAGATGCAGGCAAACTGACAATGAATAAACTTCAGATCATGTTAGAAAGTTGATAATCTTAGAGGAGGAAATATCTTGAAAACTCCTATAGTAGCAACTGGGAAACGTTGACTCTAAGGTGCCTTAAAATAAATTCGATGTTTGGGGTTCCCCCCTTGCCCCCGCCAAAAATTCTGTGAGGATGTCAAAGGCTCTGGATCTGTGTCTGGAGATGAGGGAGAGAGTTGTGCTACATCTGGTCAGACCCAAATATCCACGTGAGAATTGGGGTCTCCTAAAATAGCTGCTGTTCCATGTGAATGTCTGTAATCATTGCTCAGCTGCCAGGGAGAGCAGCAGAGATTTTTACTTACAGATGCAAACCTGCCTGCTCCTTCTGCACAGCTACAAATGGAGCAGGGAGGACATCTGAGAGATGCTCTGTAGAAAATAGAATTACCGAGGTAAAGAAGCATTATTATTGGACTTCAGCAGATTTCTGGACCTGGCCCAAGCCATAATTATTAGCTGCTGCTGACTTAAGTTCCTATCTTGAATCTAAATTCTAAACAAGGTTTTGGTTCAGAGCAGATGAGACGTAGAAAGCTGCTCTCTTGCAATTCTGCCATCCAGCCCTATTTACTTCCATATAAAATAGTGGGAAGCCAGTCTGGTTTCTCTGTAGCTCCTGATTTCCTTTCTGTAAGTGCGACTTCTAATTCTTAAACAAATTTTAAGTAAGAATTACGAGAGAGTTGGGATAGACTTTGTTCTTGGGTGCCAAAACTCTCCCTCACTTCGCAGGTGGCAAGATTTCATCCCTGGGGGTTTACATATGTATGGGCGTTCGAACAATAGCTCTGAATTTCTCACTCGCCCTTTTATTGCCCTTATCAGTAACCTCCGACAGATATTCCAATCTTCCCCCAGGCAATCCATTCCCTCTTTATAGTGCGCCCCGCCTCAGGTGAGCTCTTCCTCTCAGCATCGCCTCCTCGCACAGGAGCACACTCACAGGCGGGAAACAGTTTAATTATAAATATTTCCCTCCTTTTCAATTTATCCACAGGCGCACACACACTCCCTTCGAACTTTTTAGATTTTTTTTAATCCTCTCGTCTCATTCTGGCTCTTTCCTGGAATAACAGAGGGTTTAATCCTCCTCTACCTTCCTGCCCATCCCTTTACTACATCTTAATACAAGCTGGCATCATACCCACTTGCTCTCTAGATCAGAACCTTTCCATTGCTGCTTGGCGTTCTTTGATTTCCCTGGATAAAATCGGGAGAAAAGTGGGTTCATCCCCGCTTCTACCCCTTGGGTGAAATTAAGAAAAATCCCAGCAAACCCGAGCAGAAATCAACACCCCCAGAGTCCTTAACGTGGAGTGAAAACCCTCCCAGGCTTCGCTGACTGCACAGACTAAACGTTTCTTCCAGGAACACTGCGGGGTTAATCACGATGTTAATTTCTTTGCAATTCTAGAGCCAAATCGAAAAACGGGGGGAGATCTTTGCGAGAAAGGCTAGAAAAAATCGGTTTGAATCTACCAGCCGGCAGGCGTAAGGCCGCAAATGTCACTTTACTCACCTCCCTGGTGGAAGGTAAGCCGAGGGTCGCAAGTCCCTTCATACCCCTGCTCTGAGCTCCTGTCTGGCATTCACAAAAAAACCCCACAAAACAAACCCCAAAACAAATAAACCGTAAACCCATAAACAAACAAGCAAACAAAAAACCTCCCAAAAATCAACAAACCCACCAACTTTTGGGATCAGGTGAGAAAACCCTGCAGAGGTGAAAATCAGGGTGGGTTGGGAGGAACATGGTCACGGTGAAGGATCCCATTCCCAAAAATGAAGCCACTGGGGGGAAGATCAGTGATTCCTCTTGGTGGCAAGAGTGAGGGAGTGTTTGCGTGTGCGTACGTGTGGATGTGTGCCTGTGCATTTGTGTGCGTGTGTAACTCTGCAGGGCAGTCCCACTCCTCATCCCGTTAATTTCCATTCTGTGATCTCCGACTCCAGATCTCCATCCTCCTGATAATTCACTCTTCCTGAGCTGATTTATGACCACTACAGGATGCTCAGTGAGGAAAAATAATGCAAAATTACTTTTATCCCCCTTTTTTGGTAAGAATACGGGGAATTTAAGAGTAGCAGAGCTCGATTTCCCTTAAGGTGGCTGGAGCTGAATAAAGAGACCAGCTACTCCTGAGGAAGGAGAGAGGGAAGGGCAGACTGAAATTTCAAGTCATTTCAAGTCAGCTAATGTCATTTTGGTGGCCAGCGTGTTTCTTTGATTTGTTGTTACTGTATCGACAAGGAAAACTTAGAGCCACTAATAAGTTTAGGGTTATGTGCGTGTTTATGCTAAGAGAAGTTGGACTTCCTCCAAAAAAAACCTAACAGGAATAGTATGGATGCAATTATGAATTATATGTATCTGCATTACACACACACACACCGAGAGGCGTATAAATAATCCACTTACCTCTTCTGCGTATAAAGCCAGCGCAAATATTTGTGCTAGATATTAACTTTTCCACTCTTTTGATTGAGTTATGTGAGCGACAAGACCTTGCTGCTTGCAGAGCTGGGGGAAGGCTCGCAAAAAGAGGGGTGGGAGCTCCTCCTCCACCGGAATGCCAGGCTCAGGATGGGTTTCGGGTGTAGCTATAGAATTTGTGAAGCCTTTCGGGTGTCCTCTTAGTGCAGCTTCACCCCAAGGTGTGTGTGGAACGCCGTGCCCTCTGCTCGCAGCAGCACCAGCCCCTCCCCAGAGCTGGTGTGAGGTTCAAAAAGCCGGTGGGGTTTTGTGCAGCGATGCTAAAATCTGTGTCAAGCGCGCAGCAAGGTGTACATTCCCCTCCTCTCCCCTGATTCCCTTACAAACCAACAGTTGGCCTCCAGAGGGTTCCCTCCTTTTGGAAGAGGCCGCACATGATCGAGTTTTATCTCCTTTTTTTCTTTTTTATTTATTTATTTTTATTTTTTTATTTCCCTCCTTGCTGCCAGCAGCCCGGTTTAGCCGAGCTGCTCCTGCATGGCCAGGGACAGAGGAACAGGAACGCTCCGGTCGCTCCCGGCCCGCGGCGCCCGGAGCCTGCCCGGGGGGACCCTGCCCGGCTCGGGATCCCCGCTCCAGGCTCTGCCGGTGCCCTGGCCTTCATTAACCGGTTTGATGATTAGCGAGAGCCATTGGAGAGCAGGAGATGACGTTGGAAAGCAGCTCCCGATGGTTAAAAATAACGCGGCGCTGGAGTTATTAGACATACCTGCTCGCTGGAAATCTTCCCCCTCGTCCCTCGGGCGATGCTTTAAAGGGTTTAACGCTTTATTCTAGAGGGGCTGAGCTATAATCTGGTGGAATCCCTCTAGAGTCTGAGGGGTTTTTCCCCCCTCCTCTTTTCCTCCATTCTGCAGCTACTGTCTTCTTCTTGTGGCGTGAAGTACATCAGTAGAAGTTGGATGACAGAAACCTCTGTAGGCAAGAAACCTGAAACCAGGCAGGCAGGGAAAGTGAATTAGAATTAGAGCTCGAATAATAATTATTTTGTTCACAGAAAAAGTTGCCATTAGCTGTTATCTTTCCACCCGGCAGACGAGATTTCTTGTTGCATGATGGTCAGTTAAAAATGCAGATTTTTAAATTGCCATCGGGCTAAATGCAGTTATCTCCATAATTTTGCAGATGTGGTGATAACTGTGATAATGATGCAAGTGCTCCGTGCGTGAATAAATTGTGTCAATAACATCCCACAAAGAATTAACATTATCATTAATAATATATCCACATCTGTAAGATTTTGGACAATGAGATTTTGAAACAGGAATGGTTTCTCTGCTCTTGAGAGAAGTTTGGGTCCTTAGTTTTTCAGGATTTGAGCAGTTTCCTCTTGCATTTTTCTTTGTCCAGTTAAAGTTTTGCGTGTGTGTGTGGTGTGTGTGTGTGTGTGGTGTGTGTGTGTGTGTGTGTGTGTGTGTGTGTGTGTGTGTGTGGTGGGTGCGTGTGTGAGCTCTTCCCTCCGTTCTGATGGGTACAGACCCACACGAGTGCAAAGACAAAAATCTGTCCCATCGACTTCTGTCCCCAAAATAGGGGTGGTGGGGGGAAAACACACCACTGGAGCCTGTCCCCGAGGTGGAAGGGGGGATGAGAGGATTCCAAACACGGCTCAGAGGAGCCGGTGTCCCCAGGGGAACCGTGGGTCCGCCCGGTGTCCCGGCGGGTCGGAACCAGCCCAGCCCAGCCCGGCGGTGCCCGAAGGGGTTAATTCCCGTCTCGTTCCCTGCAGGTGAGGCCGTTCATTTAGCTCGGGATTTTGGGTACATCTGTGAAACGGAGTTCCCAGCCAAAGCTGTTTCTGAGTACCTGAACAGACAGCACACGGACCCCAGCGACCTCCACTCCAGGAAAAACATGCTGCTTGCTACAAAGTGAGTGCCAAGTTAACTCCTGTCCTTCTGCCCTTCTCGGGGAAAATCCTCAAACTCTTCCTCTGAGCTCCTTTGGAAAGCAGACGGAATTTCGAGGCTCTAAATTTCAACAGCCCCGCGGGGAGGAAGGATGCTCAAATCACCCAAAGGACCTCTGCACCCTTTTGCAGTGGGGATCCTGCCAACAGACCCTGCCCCTATAGAGATTACAGGGGATGCTCCCCTAGATGTTGTCCATCACTTCCAAGCCATCCCCAGTTAAAGAATTTTTATGCAAAGTGGTTCAAAATTTTATAATTTGCTTTCACAGCGTGTTTCTCTGTCCCTGCTGCTGCTCACACACACCTGTCTGTCTGCTACCAAATTGCAATGCCCTTCCTATACGATTTAATTAAAAAAAAAAAAAAAAAATTAAAAAAGAAGAAAAAATAAAAGCCCACCAAAATGCACTGCTAATGCCTCTCGATTTTCCCCCTCCCACCTCATTTCTGTCCCTTGGGACTTCCTCGGTGGGTGTGCTGTATGTGATGATTTACATCAGGCTGTGCCTCCCAGGCCGCTTCATGGTTTGCTCGCGTACTCGGCACTGGGTGTTGAGTATTCACACATCTTTGTCTGTCAAGAATGAAAAGGGGGCAAAAAAAAAAAAAAAAAAAAAAAAAAAACCCACCAAAAAAAAAAAAGAAAAGAAAGGAAAATCCCAGCCCAAACAGCTCTCATTTATTTCATGCTCTGGGACGTGGCTTGCCTCCGATGACAGTGTAATTTAAAGAAATATATGGAGGGTTGAAAAATCATTTGCTCAAATTTGTCCAGATGTTTCTTAGACGTGATTGGAATTTGATTGCCCTTTTCCGCAGGGTCAGAAGATATTAATGTCCCAGAACTTTAATTGCTCACAGACCCTGCTTTGCTCTTTGAAGATGTAAAATGTTGGACTCATTACTGTTTGTTCTCCAAATTCAAAGTTTCCTCTCTTGCACTTTCTTAATGGATAATACACATAGAAGTAGACCTTTATCTTTCCTCACCCTCTGAAACCTTTAACCCACTGGGAATTTCAGAGAATTTCAGAGGATGAGAGCTGGATGTCTTTTTTAAGGGTTTCTTTCTTTTTTCTTTTTTTTCTTTCTTTTTTTTTTTTTTTTTTCTTTTAATTCTGGTTTTTTTTATCTCCAATCCCTGGATAGGCACCTGTCTTTAAAAAAACCTGAATCCTTTGGGTATCCTTAAAGAAACTATTCCTGTGGGAACCCCACCAGCCTCCAGGGTTTCTACATTGCCCAGGCACCTGTTGACTTGAAGGTCTTTTGGACCAGAGTAATTTAAAATAAAATGTTTGTGTGTGAATTCCTTAGAAAAATCGAATCAGATTTTTCAAAGGTGCAGACAAACAACCAAGAGCCAGATGTCAACTCTGATGTGGTAATTGGGGTGTCATGCCCCTAGAATAAAATGGGAAATGCTTGCTTGGCTTCTCAGGTCATGAATAAGCCAGCATGGACTCCCCAAATTCTCATTTTCCTCAGTAAGGTGGCCCAGTCTGAGCAGAATCAAAGGTTCTGTTTTCGCCCTTCCCTGCACCAGGTCCCTGTGGCACCCAATAGCTCTCAGTGCATGGCTGTGCTTTCCTTCAGGAAGAGAATTTCTGGGAGCTGCCTTGAGCCAGGGCCAGGCCTCCAGGAGGGTGGGTGCTTGGCAGATCCAGGGCTCATTTCCCTTTCACCCTGGTTGTTTCTGAAGGCACCAGGCAGGGCTGGGTTTTCACAGTGCTTCAGAACCATCCCTGTGGCTGCTGGAGAGATTTGAATCTCCAAAACTGGTGTTATCCCCTGAAGAACATCATTCTGAGCAGGGAGCTGCTGGCTTGCCCTGCCTGGTCCAAGAACCTCTGGGGGAAAGGATGGCGGCAAAAAGGTCCCATCCCATGTCTTGGGATCAATTTTAGCTTGATCCTACCCCTTTGGTTGGATTGTTGGACGAGCCTAACAACATCTCTTCTCTCTCTTTGCCTTTCTCTCTTCTCTGCAGGCAACTTTGTAAAGAATTCACAGATCTCTTGGCGCAGGACAGAACGCCCATTGGGAACAGCCGGCCCACCCCCATTTTGGAACCGGGCATTCAGAGCTGCTTGACTCACTTCAGCCTCATCACCCACGGCTTTGGGGCCCCCGCGATCTGCGCCGCCCTCACGGCCCTCCAAAACTACCTGACTGAAGCTCTCAAAGGCATGGACAAGATGTTCTTGAACAACAACACTGCTAACAGGCACACATCTGGCGAAGGACCAGGTAGTAAAACTGGAGACAAGGAAGAGAAACACAGAAAATGAGAGAGAGAGAGAAAGAGAGAGAGAGAGAGGAAAAAAATTAGAATGAAAGAAAGGAAAAGAGAGAAAAAAAAAGTTAAATAAATAAAAGGAGAAGAGAGAGAGATAATCTTTTAAAACAAAACCGTCTTAATTTTAGCTTTAAAAATACTGGATTGGGCTTTGGAAGAACTCTATTAGGTAGGACAAAATAATAATAATAATAAAATAAAAATAATAATAATAAAAGAAAGACAATAATTTAAGATCAGAGGAGCACAATGGCACAAGACCAGTGGTTCAGAGTCTCTTGCCAGGAACATGTGAAGACAACCACCAGGATTTTTTTCCCCACTTCTGTTCTTTCACATTTTTTAAATAATGATTGGGGGGGAGGGGAATATAATAATAATTAATAATAATAATAAAAGAAAGAAATGAATAACTTATTGGAAGAAATCGGAGAAACATTTTTGGTGTCAGTGCTTTGATTTCTTGAGCTGCATGGTCTGTCTCGCTACCATTTTCCTTTTTTTATTTTATTCTTTTTTTTTGTTTTGAGCAACGTCCTGTCTCCACCTAGACTAAAGCAATCTTCCAGAGTGTTCCTTTCTGAGCAACCCCATGGCCTCATTCCCCTCAGTTCTTCCCACCTCATCTCACCACCCTGGTTCTGTCTAGACTAGGAAAGGAGGGGAGCTCCCAGGCCCCTCACCAAGCCATCAACACCAGCTGCCTTCACAGCAGCGTCAACTTAACTTTAGGTGCCACCAGAAGGGACGTTCGGGGTCGCCGTGGCTCAGCTGAATCTGCCAGCTCTGTTTTTTAAGAACTGTTTTGTGTGGGTTTTTTTCCTGGTCTAGACAGACTCTCTGTTTAGATTGGCAGAGTTTACAGGTGTGTCTGGGTGCGTGTGTGCCTCTGTGTGTGCATCTGTGGATGTGCACACCCGGCTCCCCAGCGGGGCGCGGGGATCCCGTGTATGTTTGTGGATATATATGTATATATATGGATATATACATATATATATATATATATATATAAAATATGTGTGCGTAGCCACGCATATTAGTGCATGCAAACATACCTTTGTAATTTAGTAATTCTGTTCTTTGATGGTAAAATGCCTTGTCTATAATGGGTTGCAAAAATTTTGGAAGTAAGGTCTGGTACAATGTCAGCGCTATCTGATTTCTTAGTTTTCTGAGATCTCCTCTTTTTCTCTAGGGAGTTTTATATTCCAAACTATGCCAATGTTTCAGTCCTTAATTTCCTTGACTAGTGTGTGTGTGAGAGCTCTTCCCCCATTTTTAAAGAACTGTTAACAACAACAAAAAATGAGTGATATGAGTATGTAATACTTTCTCAGGAGTATGCACTATTTTATTTTCTTCTGTTTCCTAAAGCTTTGCCCGCTTGGCTTATGAGCTTCTTCAAAGAGGACTAGAGATCCCTACACAATATATCAGGTACAGAGAAAAAAAATCCACAATTCTGATATTCTGATACTTTTTTATTTTTTGCTTTTTTTGCTTTTTTCAAATCAAAGCCAGTTGTTACTGAATTCTGTAGGTGCACTTCTTTAAAGAAGCTCAAAGGGAATAATTTGAACAAGATAAAAATCTAAGTGGAAATCGAGGTGTACTGTTGCAAAGAGAATAAGAGCTGTGTTGAATGTTACGGCACTTGCTTAGCACTAGGGTTTTGTACCCAGGGAGGAAAGAGTTGCCATGTGAGCTGGCTCCTCGTGATGGCAGTGGGGAGGGTTTGCCAGGGAATATCCTCATTTCTGAGCTCAGTCTGAGGAAATCTGTTTCTCTTAGAAAGCTTTTTTTTTTTTTTTAAAAAAAAAATGTCTTGTGACTCTTGCTTTGGAACAAGTCGGTGTGGTGAGGGGGGCAAAAACTTCTTAACTCCAATGTTTTTCTTGGTGGTTTGGTGTCTGACAGGATGTCTTATGCATATGATTTGGGGTGGTGGGGGTGAAGGGGAAGTCTTGTTTCTTTCCTCTCTTTTTCTTTTTTCAACATACATTTCTCTGTCTTCTGTGGTAAAAATAACGCTGAAGTGTAAGGATATGGATTTCTGTTTGGATTCTGCCATGTTGGGTAATTGCATGTGTTTCTCAGTGGGGTAGGGCTCGTGCACTAACACATCTTTTGACTTATGTCAGAACTGGGTGTGGGTAAATCTCCTGGAGTCTCTGGCAAAATTCCAGTGGGGTCAGGCCTTCCCCTAGGATCCCTGTGAAAGCTGCAGGACTCAGTCCCGCCATCCCATGCAGGGACACCTGAACTCAAAACAGAGAGAGAGAGAGAGAGAAACCCTAGCATTCCTTTCATTTTGAGATACCTTCCAAAGTGGATAGTGAGGGAGAAATAATTCTGCAATGTTCTCAGCATCCCTTGATGAAATGTTCTCAAAACAAAAGAGCAGATCCTCTTGTCCCCTTTAATGCCCTTGGCACTCTGAGACCTGGTTACAGCTAAGGGCCTGCTCTGCTTTCCAAATCTTCTTGCAGCCAGGTCTCAGCTTTTGTTCTCTGCTTGTGATTTGGGCACACGTGGCAGTAGAAATCCAGGCATGATCCAGCCCCAAGGAGCACTGGCCCCTCCTGACCTGCTCCTTGCTCTTTGGTTCTTCTGGGGCACTGGGGACTCTCCTGTGAGAAAATGGGGGAACTGAGGCAGGCAGCCTTTTCCATGGATTGTTGGGATGAGTTGGAGGCAGTCTTAGACCCTGGCATGTCCCTGCCAGTGGGTTTGGTTGTAGGTTGTGGCAGGGATTGTCACATCCCTGTGGTTGTCACCAGAGGAGGTGTGGTGGTCAAACCATGGGTCCCCCACCAGCAAGCTGGGGACCTTCAGACTGAAAAACAGTATCTCCAGTCCTCCATATCTTACCCCTTGCCAACCACCCCAAAGTTCATCAGGCTTGTGAGGAAGGACAATCCAGGCTCCAGGGTAGGGCATGGCCTAGCAGTGATGCAAGAGAAAGGGAAAGAGGGAATTTGGGCCCACCTAGAAGCACAGTTCTCTTCTCTGCCTGATGGGAATATCCTGTTTATTGAAGCAGAGCACCAAGTGTTGGATCTTACCTTTCCCCCGCAAACAGGATTTGTGAGGAGCCTGTGGGTTCAGTCCTTCAGCATCGCCCAGCCCAGTGGGGCTTTTGGGTGTGAGGAGCCCCCAAATTATCTCTCAGCCTTCCACATCCCCAGCTGAATGTGCTTTGGGGCCATGGGAACCTGGCCCTGCTGCCCTAGAGCTTCCAGCTGGAGGCTTTGGGGCCATTTGGGAATGGCCTTTCCTTGTCTCTGGGGAAATGTAGGGAATTCTCCTTTTAACTGCAGAGGACAGTGTCCCACCACCACTGTGGGTTAATGGGGAGAGGGAACTCTTGGAATTTCCTGGGGAAAGACTTACATGTGTGAGGGCCTGATCCTGCTGCTGCTGAAATCTTTCCTAGACACAGGTTTGGTCACCCGGACCATGACCTAAACCTTGAGCAGGTTGAGGGAAGAGTTTCAGCCTGTCCCTTGTGCCTTCTACCTGGAGGAGACAAACTGCAGTGCTCAGGCAAAATAAATCCAAATTCCCACTGATTGTAGTGGGATGCCATCCCTCCACTTGCTCCCCAAAGTGTGGAGACAAAATTTACAAGGTTTATGGCTTAATGCAATCAGGCAGGGAACAGGAGAGGAGCACATCCCTCTGTCCTTCCCCCCAGCCTAGTGCTGGTCCCAGAGGGAATTTGAGCATCTCTTGGCGGCTCCTATCAGTGCTGAGCACCGAGGTCCCCCCCAAATTAAACTCAGCCTCCCTCTGGAAGATATTTTCCTGCTCCCTTCCACTTTCCCAGCCCGACTACTTCTGTTGGCGGGGCACCTCAGACGTTTATCTGATAATTGAGTTATTAAAAGATTTGGTTTCCTCAGGATCATGAATCAATAAACAGGAGGATTAACAAGGCAGCTTTGCTTTGTAACTCAAGGGAAAAGTTTGAGGAGAGGCCATGAAAAGTTTGTTTTCAAACCAAACAGGTGGGTTGCTGTAAATTTTATTTCATTCTTAGTCTCACTTCTTTTTTTTTTTTTTTTTTTTTAATACCAATTCTTTATTTGCCTTTGGAAAGATTTTTACTTTCGTACGATCCCTGACTTTTTTTTTCCCCTGGTTGTTATCCACACAAGATGTAATGGAAACAAGAAGCCAATTTCATGGGAATGCTTTTACAACCCGATGGTTTCTTTAAAAATCGGGTTGTGTCTTGTCCCACCCAATAGAAATTCTCTGTGAGAAGCTGTTCAAAGTCCCTTTGCGCCCCAGACCAATCTCTCCCCAAATCCTCAAATTTGCATTTGGGGCTGGCAGGGAGCGGGGGAATGATGGTTTTAAGACCTTCTGCTGTGCCCTAAGGGCTTATTCCCTTCTCCTGCTCCTCTCTTTCTGACCGGTTTATCACTCAGACCTGTCGGGCTCTGTTTTAATGCATTTCTCGGAGAATTTGGTGCTTGTTTCAGCTGCCGTAAGCATTTACCAGATCGACCCAGACAACCTCCCCCTCCCTTCCGGCTTCCCTGTGTGAGAGAGACCGTAGGCTTTTTACAAATAGTATATTTTCTTATACAAAGGGAAAAAAAAAAAAGTAAAAGAAAACATCCCCAAACACACTGGCAAACGCCTGAACATTTCGAGAGAGAACATTTCTTGCTTGTGTGCCAGCAAGAAATAAAGGCAAAAAAAAAAAAAAAAGAAACAACCCCCAAACAAATGCAAAGCTATGAAAAAAAAGAATGAGAAACTGGAAAGATGAAAGACAAAAATAATAAAAAATTCTTCTTTTATGCCCCAAACAATCCCTTTCACCTCCTCTTCTTGAAAAAATCTGTCCATGCAGTGAGAAATATCAGTTTATCTACTCTTCCTGAGAAGAAATGCGGAGAGGCATTCAGTATTGAGTTTGTATATATTTATTTATGCTTAATTTAACGGGAATGTGTAAATATGGCGAGCAAGTAGTTT